TGGTCAGCAACTGAGTATCCATGGCCCTGCTCCAGGAGCCCGGCTGACCACCCCTCTTCGAGGGCGCAGTTTGCTTCACCTAGAAACCCAAATTCCCAATGGCAAGGCCTTGCAGGAACCCTTATTATCTAGGATTCCAAAGGTGGAACGATGCTCTGATTGTAGGGTCAACAGCGTGTGAGCTCCTGAAAGGACATCAGAAAACCCTCCCTGTCTGTGCCAAAGGCATGGAGAAGAAGAAATGAGGATCATAGGCTCTGATGTCAGTCACTTACGTGGATTATCAGGATGGCAGGTTATGCAGCAGCCACAAATGACCCTGAAATCATATTGGTTATTGTTCTTTTATTGTTTATTAGTGGCATATTATTGTTTTATAACAGGTTTATTTATCATTCCTACCACATGTCCTTCTTGGGTTGACTGTGACTCTCTTCCATGTGGCCTGCCACTGGGATCTAGGCTAACAAACAGCCTTTATCTAGAGCACTGTTGATTCATGGCACATGGAAAAGACATGGAGAACCATAAACTGGCTCTTAAAGCTCTGCCTTTTTGTTTTAAATATTTTATTTATTTTTGAGATAGAGATAGAGACAGCGTGAGCAGGGGAGGGTCAGAGAGAGAAGGAGACACAGAATCTGAAAGAAGCTCCAGGCTTTGAGCTATTCCTCAGCACAGAGCCTGACACGGGGCTCGAACCCATGAACCGTGAGATCATGACCTGAACCGAAGTCAGGCACTCAACTGACTGAGCCACCCAGGTGCCCCAGCTCTGCCTTGATATGACACATCACTTGCCCTCACGTGTTGTTGGTCAGAGCAAGTCACATGGCTACGTGACATCAATGGGTCAGAGAAGCGTGTTGGGAACAGAATGCATTCTGCCAGCACGCAGTTCTAGCACAACATTTGTCAAGAGGGCCTCCCTGTCCTCCCCTGAGACTCTGCCACTGACCTGTTCTAACCCACCAAAGGTAAAAGATTTTCTATGGAGCCCCAAAAGGTAGGGCCAACTTCTGTTTGATTCATTCCTGGCTTCTCATCACAGTGCCTGGTGTAATCTAGACATTATATAAATATTTTTTGAAGTAATATGGAGTTGATGTTGCAATTGGGAGAGCACTCCACAGAATGAGGCCTCTGTCTTTTTTTAAGAAAGTTTATTTTGAAAGAAAGAACATGAGTAGGGGAGGGGCAGGGAGAAAGGGGGAGAGAGAGAATCCCAAGTAGGCTATATACTGCAGGACAGAGCCTGACACGGGGCTCAAACCCACGAAACATGATCATGACCTGAGCCAAAATCCAGAGTCAGACACTGAACTGACTGAGCCACCCAGGTGCCCCAGAATCAGGCCTGTGTCTTGATTACAGTGGTTCCTCTCCCCTGAGACCCTCCACGTATCCTTACCCTGTGGTAGATCCTAAGGGGGCATAACCTGAGGCTCCATGTCAATCACCATTGCCACAGGCCCACCTTGAGGTGCTAAGGACACTGTGCCCTCACCAAAGTCATCCAGAGCAGAATGCAAACCCTGCCATTAAGAAGTTCACTGCCCCCAGGCTCCATTTATGCTTTCACACCACGGTGTGTTCTGAAATCTGCCTCATTCACACCATCTTTATCTAATTGCTGGCTCAGAGAGGCTTTTCCATTCTAGGGCTCAGGGATCTTGATTTACACCTCAACTCTGATTCCAAGTCCCCCGCACTTAAGCTACAACTGACGTGTGCCCAGGCAATGTGGACTCTAAGCAGCCAAGGGACCCAGGGACCTTCACAGAGGATTCCCAAAGAGCTTCTTAAATACACCGTGATGTGCAGATGATGCTACACCATCTTTGCAAGTGATGCATCCTGTTTACCCACAGCATTCCGTGAGATCCCTTGAGGATAGGAGAGAGACAGGAACTTTGGGAGAAAGTAAATCTCTCTTAGTTTGTTTAAGTGCACTGAGAAAAGAAATACAAGCTGTTAAGTTTGGGGAAGCCTGTACCATCTGGTTACTTACAGCTTGATGCTGTCTGGTAAGCAACATCTGTGGGTTAGGTAAGGTGGTCCACCGCTCCCCTTGCCACAAAATCAGGAAGCCTATATCAATGCCCTTCCTAGGGCACATGCTGTCTTCAACATGCCTCTCTGTGGACAGACACCTGTGTAGGAGGGATCCCAGGGGACTGTGCTATGTGCCCATGCTGTGTGGTAGAATGAACATTAGCTGGGCTTGTCTCTAACTAGCTGTGTGGTTCTGTGACCTGGGTCAAGTCATTTCCCTTCTCTGAGCTTTGATTTCTGTTTATAAAATGTGGAGGAGGTTACAAGATTTCCCTCCAGGTTCATTGAGGTGGTGCAGTGGGGACCCTGGGCTTTGGAGCTGCAAAGCCCTGGTGATGGGCTCACTCACTAGCTGGCTATGATCCTGGGCTCACTGGGCCTCAGCTTCTTACCTCTAGACTAGAATCATAAGAATTCACCAGGTAGATGAGTAATTAAGAAAAAACATTGTAGTACTTAATTCAGGTCTGGTCCTCAGTGCCCAAACTGGTCCTTAGGAAAAAAGATAATAGTGGTATGGTGGCAAACCTGGCATTGGCAACCACCAGACACACACATTTCCACTGGCTCTGCTAGACTGCATTGGCTTCCCTGGCCTGAGCTGGAAGCCAAGGAGCCCTGAGCACTCAGCCTGCAGCCCTTTGGCCACCTGAAATTTCAGAAACTGACACACTCTCTGAGTGTGCCCAGTCTACGACTATCTCCACACTGAACAAATTCTGGTGTCAGAGCCAACTCACCTATGGGTCAAAGAAGCAGTCACCATGTTGCCTTCTTCTAAGGGTTCTAAAAAATGAATTGGCTCCAAAAGACCTTGATATCTCGCACTCCCAAATCACCCTCAAATCTCTGCCTGCTACCACCTAGATAGATTTCTTTCAGATACCTTTGGGGGATAGCCCTTAAGGCTTTATTAGTCATTGAAATATTACTGTGAATCAGTGTATCAGATAAATAAAATGGGCACCAGACAAGGCTCCAGGGACATGGGATAAGAACAAGTAAATATTGATGAGAGGTGTGGGGCTTGGACATGAAGCAGGATGGGCAGGCTTGCCTGGGCATTGGGTAGATGGCCAGAAGTATCTCATGGAGGCACTGGGTGGGAAGAAGGGCAGTTATAGACATTAAAGGAGTGTCTATTAATGGCACTCTGTGTCAGGCATGGTACCAACCCCAAAACTCTAGGAAATACACATGTAAATAATGCAGTCAACACTACCCACACTTTCCCTTGATAAGCATAAGCTACAGGGTGATAATGGATTGGCAGACAGGAATCTCCCACTCTCTCAGACTCTGTGGTTCCTGGATGTGAGTCCCAGGTTGAGCTTCTCCCATGGCTAAACAAAGCATCTGGCTCTAAGAATACCTATTTTTCTGATAGCATAACTTTCAGTTGCAAACCAATAGGTGCTCAACTCTAGACCTGATCATCTGTTCCAAGGCTAGAGGGAAAACTGGCTGCTTGAATCTTTCCAAAGAAGTATATTGGTTTCCAATATGGCACCTTCCTGAAGGATTCTCAAGGATCATTTTAACTGTTGGAGATGTTTGTGGTAGCTGACTTTGGAACCCAATCCCTAGGTGAGATGAGACTCTAATATACAGAATTCAGATGTCCAGTGACCTCTGACAAAGATTGGATAATGCACACAACCACTGTCCATTAAGCCCTTCAGCTTTTACAATGGACAGGTTGGAGCCATCCTGGGAGAGCACTGGCTCCCCGCACCAGGCACACCTTAGACTCCCTGACTCTTATTCCCGGAAAGTATCAGGAAGCTCCTGATCCTTATCCTTGCCTGAAGAGCCGTGCTCCTGTGTGGAGCATAAAGATGCAGAGAGCTCTTGAGTTTCAATGGGAAGTCAGTGGACACCCAGGGTCCTCTTAGCTGAGGCATCCAGTCTTCTCTGCTAGGCTAGCCACTCCTGCCCACCTCAGCTCCACCCTCCGCAGAGCTGTTGGTGTGACTTTCCTAAGACATAAATCTACCTGGGACACTCCCACTGCTTCAGGCTTCGTCGTCGTGCATTACCCTGGAATCACAGTGGTAGCAGAAATAAAAATAGTCACAATATTAAGGATAAAGTCACAGGGAACGTGGAGTGAGTGGTCACCACGTGGCTAGCATGCTGCTGCAGGCTCTAATGCAGGCTCCCATTCAGTCCTCACAACCACTGAGAAGGGAGATGTCACTGCAGGGGCTGGACAGGCAGAAAGGCTAAGGGACGTGCTCACAGTCCCAAGACCAGCAAGTCATGTTGCAAGGCATCAAATTCAAGTTTGCTAACTTCTGAACCTGTGTTCTTAACCACTGTACCATTCAGCCTAAACATAATGGTTGTAAAAAAAAAAAAAGAAGTATGGTGGGTACAAAGTGGCTCACACTCCTTCTTATGGCATCAGGACCTAGAACTTTCCCCAATCATAGCCCTGATCACACTGTGTCACAGCTATGTGTCCACATGTTGGTTCTGAGATACCCCAGGTCGGGGGCTGTGCTGCTTCACCTTTACATCACCAGTGCCTAGCAGGGGTCTTGGCACATAGTCGGTGCTCAATAAATGGCTCATGGGTTAATGGATGGATGAATTCATTGATCCACATCAAACTCTGGCCTTCTCTAGGAACTTCTCGGCTTTAAAAGCCCCCCATTCTCATTTCCCTAAATTCCAGCACCTTTTTCCTCGTATAATAGCTCATTGCACCTTATCTTGTCACATATAACATTTTTGTCTGTAAGTTACTGATTCTCTCACCTCTGCAGACCGTAAGAAACTCAGGGACAGGGGTGGCATTTAGCCTTTCTTTTCCTGAGTCACCCAGCTCAAGGTTGGCTCAGATCTCTAAGTAAATTACACTAGGAGCAGAAACTAGAAGGTGAGGACACCCACCCCATGAGGAATAAGCCTTTGTTCTTTCTGTCCCTCATGCACTGCAGGAGCCTCCTCTGGCATCATCGACCTCTTGCCATCTCCCAGCGCCGCCACCAACTGGACAGCAGGGCTGCTGGTGGACAGCAGTGAGATGATCTTCAAGTTTGATGGCAGGCAAGGCGCCAAGATCCCTGATGGGATTGTGCCCAAGAACCTGACAGACCAGTTCACCATCACCATGTGGATGAAACACGGCCCCAGCCCTGGTGTGAGAGCTGAGAAGGAAACCATCCTCTGTAACTCAGATAAGACTGGTGAGTCTGGAGCCCAGGCCTCCTGCGGGCTGTCCCTTATATCCCAGCTGGTTAGGTATGGACGCAGCCTCAGAGCATGTGGGAGGAAAGCCAGAGCATGATGGGGGCCTGGGAAAATATTCTTGGCTGCTGATTTTCTGGGCTTGGGGTAGAGCAGGACCAGGAAATGGGGAAGAGTAGAGGCACAGACACAAGGCAAAAGCTGAGACCAGCACTTTTCAAACTGAGTTCTTCAGACCCCCAGCCTCCCCAGAACTAACTTAGAGCTGCTACACATGATGTGTGGGGAGGCGGGTGGGGCACACACTGCATCCTTACTTCAAGCAAAGCAGCTCCACCTTCACTGTGTTATATATAGTAAGATTTCCAACAGTTTCTTTTCAATGAAAGGGTCATGCTCATTTTCAAAATCACTGCTGAATGTAATAACGGTAGCTAAGTTTGGTCAGACATTTTCCCCATGCTAAGCCTGCACAGGAGCAGTTCACAGCTTAGCGGTTAAAAGGATTCCACCACTTATTGGCCATATGACCTTCAGCAAGTTTTTTAACCTCTCTGTGCCTCACTTTCCCTCTCTATAAAATGGGCACTATAGTGCTATCTACCCATTGGGTTTTTATCAGGATTAAATGACTTTATGTACATACAGTGCTTTAGAATAGTACCTGGCACATAAGAAATGCAATCTGGGTTAGATATTACTGTTCTAGACAGTTTCTCACATCTCTGCGACGAACTTTATGAAAACATTATTGTGTTTCCCATCTTGAGGATAAGAAAACATTCCTGAGAGGCTAACTTTCCCAAGTATATAGACAGTAAGTATCAGAACTGGAATGTAAGCTCAGATTCATCTAACTCCAGTCCTGTGCACTTCTCACCGCACCCCACAGACACACACGCATATGCACACACTTATTTGAGTATCTTATGCAAATTTTACAACTCTATCGTTTTTTTAACTTGTTTAAATGTTCCTATTTATTTTTGAGAGACAGAGAAATACAGAACATGAGTAGGGGAGGGGCAGAGAGAGAGGGAAACACAGAATTGGAAGCAGGCTCCAGGCTCTCTGAGGCGTCAGCACAGAAGCCTGACGTGGGGCTCGAACCCATGAACTGTGAGATCATGACCTGAGCCGAAGTTGGGCACTTAACTGACTGAGTCACCCAGACGCCCCTACCACTCTATCTTAAATTATAATTCCACAAGTTCCTATTTCAAGCTCTGCTTTTGTTAAAATACCCAAAAATGAATAAGAACCACAGCACATACTGCAGTGAGAAGGCAGGATAGAACGGCTCACAGCTCAGCCTCTGCGGCCACACAGCCAAAGTTCATTTCTCAGCCTTTCCGATACTTACGGTGTGACCTTTGAGGAGTTGCTAATCTCCCTGAGCTTCAGTTTCCCAATATGAAAAATGGGGAACATAAACATGAAATAATGTGTGAAATCAGTCGGCAGCACCAGATATAAAATCAGCACTCAGTTTATTTACTTGATGTTGTCACTGTCATTATATTACTTTTGGTTTTATTCCACATTATGCTACGACCAGGACCCCATGTTTCCTTTTTAAAAAAAATTTTTTTAATGTTTCTTTATTTTTGAGAGAGACAGAGTGTGAGTGGGGGAGGGGCAGAGAGACAGGGAGACACAGAATCTGAAGCAGGCTCCAGGCTCCAAGCCGTCAGCCAGAAACCGGCGCCGGGCTCGAACTCCGGGACCGCCGGATCATGACCTGAAACGAAGCTGGATGTTAATCAACTGAGCCACCCAGGCACTCCACCAGGACCCCACATTTTGTTTCAGTCACTCCTTACAATACATGTTAGTGTGTTTTCCAGATGCAGACACTGAGACAGGGAGAGTTGCCTGGCTTTTCACAGTCCTAAAGTAAGTCTCTGTCGAATTGACTGTGCCAAGGATCAGTTTTCCTGGTACTTTTATGCCGGCAGGACTCTGCAGACATGTGTGAGGTCACGCTGAGCTTTGGCACCGGGTTCAGAGCTCAGCGCGCAAGCCCAGGAATCACCCTGCAGCCTGGTCCATGCAAGGCCTGGCAGTGCGCTCCCATCACAACGCAGGAGCCCGCATCAGTGAGACAGCAGCTCAGGACTGTGCGTACCAGCGCAAAGGGCACCGGCTGGGGGGAGCGGCCACCCCGCATATCGCCCTTTCTGAAACGTATCAAATACCCCTGGGAGGCAAATCAGACAGACATCAATGTTCTTGCGTCCAGAGGAAGAAACTGAAATATGAAAGGCTGAGCAATTGGCCCAGGGTAGCAGCGTCGGTTACCCGAGAACCGGGATCTGACGGGTCCTCCGGGCCTGAGTTCCATGCCCACGCTCCAGGTCCAGGGGTTCTCAACCCCGCTACGCAGGAGAGGAACCCGGATGCTTGTAAAAGTGCAGAGATGCCAGGGCCCCACCCGGCGCAGTAAGTCAGACTTTCTAGGGGTTTCTATTGTATGGCCACGGCTGAACACACCGCCTTAAAGGAGGACACTTCACTTTGGTCAGACCACCCATGCCACATCAGCACCCTGAAATCCGCGAGAACTGGTGCTCCTGTACTTTGGTCTTGGCAACACTTTACAAGCGGCTTGACACCGGCACAGAGAAGATAGGGCAGGTTTTCTCGAAGTTCTTTGACTTAAAAAATAAAAAAAAACGATAAATACCTTCTTGTCCTAAAAAAAAAATGTCAGGAATAAATTAAAGCTTTATTAGGCTTTTATATACCAGAAACATTTTTTCAAGACATGTTTATATCAGAAAACCTGAAAAACACAGAAAAGTCTAAAGAAGAATGCACAAGTCCCCCCAAATCCTAATACTTAGAGATATCTGCTGATTATATTTAGTATGTTTCATTACCAGATAAAATCTTATTTTTATTTCTATGTATATATAGGATGTCCTTACAGTTTTCAGTCTATTTTTATAATACAGGTGATACTCTCATGTTCTCTATTTCTTTTATGTATTTTTTAAATAGTTTATTGTCGAGTTGATTTACATATAACACCCAGTGCTCATCCCCACAAGTGACCTCCCCCAGATCATTTGTCTTTGTGATAAAGTATTCCTTTAAGATATGAATTACATAACAATCTAAAATTCTGTCACAGGGCTTTATTATTTCTTTTTTTTTTTAATGTTTATTTATTTATTTTGAGAGGCAGAGTTGAGAGAGAGAATCCCAAGCAGGCTCCACATTGTCTGCATAGAGCATGACACAGAGCTCTGATCTCACAACTGTGAGGTCATGACCTGAGCTGAAACCAAGAGTCGGATGCTTAACTGACTGACCCACCAAGGCGCCCCTATTATTTCACTTAATTGGCTTCTTTGTGTTAGACATTTAGCTGCAACAAAGAACACCACAGGTCACGAAAAGAAATGAAGCAGATTTCTGAATGTGCCGTGTCCCTAGCCCGCTGAAGAAACCAGTGACTGTGGTGTGGATGGTGACTCCAGGATCCCAGACTAACAAGGGGGTGGGGGGGAGAAAGTTCCTAGCCTAGAAGACGCTCCAGACCTCCATTCATTCTTCTTGTTACACTTCCTCACCCACAACCTTTCCTGACTCCAAGTACTATTCACGGGGAAAAGTCCTTTCTCTGTTTTTCTGACGGTAGACAACAGATAACAGAAGTCAGTTGACTCCCAGACATTGGCCTAGGCCAAACCTACAACACTGGCAACTGCTTTGCCCATACTTCCCATTGTGTCAATTAAGATGCTTTCAGGGCACCTGGGGGCTCAGTGGGCTACGCCCTGACTTTGGCTCAGGTCATGGCTCAGTCAGTTGGGCCTCCGACTTCAGCTCAGGTCATGATCTTGCAGTCTGTGAGTTTGAGCCCTGGGTCAGGCTCTGTGCCGACATCTCAGAGCCTGGAACCTGCTTCAGATTCTGTGTCTCCCTCTTTCTCTGCCCTTCCCTTGCTTGCACTCTGTCTCTCAAAAATAAATATATTTTAAAAAATTTTTAAAAGATGCTTTCAGTTATAAGAAATAGGAAATACAGACCAAACTGATATCATCACATGATCAAAAAATCAAGTAATAAAGGGAACATAAGAGTTCTCGTAACTGAAAATGTCCAGAGCTATGACAGCTTCAGGCAGAGTGTGATCAAGTGCTTGACCCTTTTTGCTGCAGTTTCTCAGATCTGCTCCCATATGTGTATCGATTTCATGTTAGTAAACATGGCTGCAGCAGCTTCATAACTCCCAGATATGTAGACAACTTCTAGAGAGAGACTGTGTCTTCTATCTGCTTTCTGATAAAAGAGAGTTCTTTTGTAGGTGCCTGGGTGGCTCAGCTGGTTAAGTGTCCAACTCTTGATTTCAGCTCAGGTCATGATCTCAGGGTCATGAGATAGAGCCTCATGTCAGCCTCTGAGCTAAGTATGGAGCCTGTTTGAGATTCTCTCTGTCTGTCTCTCTCTGTCTCTCTCTTTCTCTCTCAAAATTAAATAAATAAAACTTAAAAGAAAAAGATTTTATTTATTTATTTTTAATGTTTATTTATTTTTGAGACAGAGGGAGACAGAGCATGAGCAGGGGAGGGGCAGAGAGAGCAAAAGAGGGAGAGAGAAGGAGACAGAACTCAAAGCAAGCTCCAGGCTCTGAGCTGTCAGTACAGACTTGACTTGGGGCTTGAACTCACGGACTGGACCATGAGATCATGACCTGAGCCAAAGTCGGACGCTCAACCAACTGACCCACCCAGGCACCCCAAGAAAAAAAATTCTTTTAAAAGAGTTCTTTTTTATAACCACTCAGAAAAGCTCCTGAATCACAGACTTGAACTGAGTCACTTTCCTGACAGAAGCCCTGTGGCCAGGAGAATGGCCTGCACTGCCTGACTTGGGCCTGGGTCCTGAACCAATGTCCATAGTGAGGCGACCACCCAGAGCCCATGTCTAGAGGTGGAATTGGTGTTGAGGTTTGTACAGGAGGTACAAGAATCAATCTCACTGTCCTACTCTCATGATGCATTAGGATAATCCAGCATCCCTGTCATGACACAGGTAAGGAAACTGAGGCTCTGAGAAGCTAAAAATTTCTCCCAGAACCATCTAGAGATACAAGTCCACCCACAGTTTATCTGACTCTAGGGCCCATGTTCTTTCTATGACACATGGTCACCTGCTCATCCACGTGTCGTTTATGGAGCATGTACCTCGTAGTAGATTTCTGTGTATGCTAACAGCTAGTATATGATGTGAGCTCTCTGAGTATTGGTCAAAGAACAGCTCCTCCCCTCCAAGTGGCTGTTACCTTGTGGCTGCATGGCTGGGACCCACAATGTGAGATTTCCTAGCAGAAAACAAAGTCTTTTCTATCAGTGGAGGAAAATGTCCTATCCGCTGTGTATGGGGAGAGAGGTATTTATTCATAGCTTTGGAAAGACATGGAACTATGACTAATGCTGAAAAATCAATCTGTCCCTTCCTCCCAGCAACCAGAAATGAAACCACTGCCCTTACCTGCACACCATAAGGTAGGGAAGGAGACATGATCTCTGGTCACCATTGCCAAGCCTGATGGAATGCAGTAAAAGCCCAGCACTCTAGGAGAAACCAGCTGTGTCAAAGGAGCCCAGTGTAGCTGACGTGATTTTCAGAGAGCCCCTTAACCACCCCCCCAGAAGTACTTATACAAAAAAAATCAACAAAACTCATTAGCCTACATAATTTTCATCCTGGGTCTGATGCAGTATCTGAGTATAACCTAGGTTGCTTTTTAAAGCCCAGATGGCTTCTCTGCCTAAGTTTTGCTGTGGGCTTTGTTGCATCTTCCTCTTCCATTTCAGTGAGCTCCACTCTGTGTGTTCTAGAACATTCATTAGATCTGATCCGATCGTATAAGAGGAAACCAAAACACCTCTTCCTTTCCCCTGTGAGGTGTGTGAAGTGATGTCGTGGAAAGACCCCTCTGGCAGAGACTGGTGCAGGGATTCTACAACCACTCACATCCGCTTTCTGCTTTCCAGAAATGAACCGGCATCACTACGCCCTGTATGTGCACAACTGCCGCCTGGTCTTCCTCTTGCGCAAGGACTTCGACCAGGCCGACACCTTCCGCCCCGCAGAGTTCCACTGGAAGCTGGACCAGGTAGGGCACTCCCCTCCCACCTCGCACCTCACCCCGGCTCACCCCTTTGCAGGGGCGGTAGGCGTGCTCCAGTGATGACAGCAGCGACGAGGCACCTCAAAGTTCTGCTCACTTGCTAGGTTTGGGAAAAATTAGCTCAGGGAGACACACAGCATCTTAAAGTCAAGATAGGAACTGCTGCCTTAGAGACCACCTGGGGGTGGGAAGGCCATGCTTGCCAGGTGGGACCGGGCATCTGTCAGCAGATCTGTCGACGTGTATCTTGTCCATTTGCTCCACACTGAGATGCAGGGAAGCTGGTTCTCTTGATCCTCAGGCCCAGTGTGTGATCTCTGGTAACACATCTTTATATTACAAGTGCCCATGTCTCCCCTTTGATGCTCTGTTATCTCCTTTGAGTGACAGTGCAGCCTTGCTTTTGGTGACACAGGTTGAGAACAAGGGACCCGAGGACCTTGAAGTCAACAGTGACACAGCACACTGTAAGCAGTGCATGTTCCTTTCTGAAGTGCAAAACCTAGGACTCACTCCAGAGCCTCCTGACTTGTGATCACAAGGGCTACTATGTCATACGTGTCAATGACAAAGCAAGTGTCTGGTTTGAGGGAAAAGCTTTGAAGTGTCTGTTTCCGAGGGCCGTTCAGCGCTGAGATTGCAGGAGTGGCAGTCACTTCTCTGGGTGGCTATGCCACTAAGGAAGAGTCCGGTAGGAGGCCTCAGTCGGCCTTCACTTAGACCTGAACTGGGGTAGGGGGTTGGGGGGAAGGCACGTGTGAAGTTTTACAAATGGCTTTGGGAGTGCCTGGGTGGTTCAGTCAGTTAAGCGTCTGACTTCAGCTCAGGTCATGATCTCAGTGCTTCATGAGTTTAAGCCCCACGTCGGGCTCTGTGTTTACAGCTTGGAGCCTGGAACCTGCTTCAGATTCTGTGTCTCCCACTCTCTTTGCCCCTCCCCTGCTCGTTCTCTCTCTCTCTCTCAAAAATAAACATTAAAAATAATATTTAACATAATCATTAAAAAAATCATAAAAATGGTTTTCAACTGTCAAGGTAGAGAATGCCAGCAGAGGAGGAAGGGGGTTGTAGAATGGGTCCTGCTAAAGGATGACATGATCCCTGTTCCGCAGTCTTACTGTCCAGCACCCCACCCATATCCTGAGTGCTTCTAGGGACCTCATTTTTCTTTCCTTCCCCTAAAACCCCCTATGTATGCTACCTGCCTCACCTTGTCTAGGGATGAATGTTCCAGAGTCCTTTCCCTTCTCACAGCCATCCACCCCACCCTCTCCCTGTACTAAGGAGAGGTTGGTCTGGTTTCAGAGAGTGTTTCTGGGAAGTGGTTTGGAAGGAACTCATTTATATTGAGACGAGAATGATGGCTGCCCGCTTTCATCCACAAGGAGGCATAGACATATGCTCTTTATAAGACAGATTCATTAACCTCAGGGAATCTCTTGATGCTGGAACTCCAGGCAACATGACAAGGTCAAGGCTGCCAAGATGATGGAAAGATGTTTAAGGAAGCCCAGTGGCAACTGCCTGATCTATTCCCAATAAATCCCATCCTGCTGGATCCCAGGATTTTGCAAACATGGCATCTGGATTAGTATGTGTTCCTCTAAATTAGGAATTCTGGGTGCAGCAGAAATTGTAAAATCCTGACATTGCTTTTTTGATTTCCTGGCAACCTCTCAGCTGCCTTCTAAAGTGCCGTATGGCTTATATGGGATATATTTAAATACCTAATATGAATTGAGATGAATTAAAATAAATTCTGTATTGTTAGGGGTTTTAATAAGAACATTGCTATACTGGCCAGGATAATTGCAGATACCCTACAGCGTTTTCTCAGATGGGTTTGAGAAGTACTGATATAGGCAAATGAAGTCACAGGGTTGGGTTTGGAATTAAAAACAGGTGAGGAAGGAATTCTGGTTCTACAGGATAATGACTCCAGGAATTCTGAATTCAGTTCCCAAAGTGGTGAATTTAAGGAGGGGCTGAGGCTCACAGAAAACTTCCAGATTACTCCAATCTCATTTACTACCATTCACCCGCATCCGTTCTGTACCAGGCACGCTGCCTCTGAGTTCACTCTCACCTGCCCAGTGGATGAAATGAGTCAGGGGACCATGGTAAGGTCACACAGCAAACCATGGCCTGGACCTGCCCTTTCCATTACGCTGTGCTGTTTCCTCGATGACCTTGCTAATTTAAAATGTTCTCATTTCTAAATTTTCAATATTTTTAATTTAGAGATCAGAATTATCCCTGAGATGCAAAATTTTATAGTCTTGATGAAATTCTTGAAACTGTGAAATCTTCACTTTGCTTAAGCTTTGTCTTCTTCCTTAGTCAGCTGGGGCTGCTCTCACAAAGTACCACAGGGCAGGGGCTTAAACAACGGACATTTATTTCTCGTAGTTCTGGAGGCTGGGAAATGCAAGACCAAGGTGTCCGCTGATTCAATTCCCCAGTGAGGGCCCTCTTCCTGGCCTTAGACAGCCACCTTCTCACTGTGTCCTCATGGCAGAGAGAGAGAGAATGCAAGAGAGCTTGCATGCTGGGATACCTTTTCCCCTTCTTATGAGGTCCTATGAGATTAGGGCCCTGCCCTTAATGACCTCCTTTAAACTTGACCACCTGCTAAAGGCCCCATCTCTAAATATAGTCACACTAGGGGGGGTAGTGCTTCAGTCTATGAATTTTGGGGGGACACAATTCAATCCACAGCATTCTTATTTTTTAATAGCATTCTTTACTAAAGAAATTAACATTAAAAATATTTAAATCTACCTATTGGTGATCAGAAGCCCCAGCTAACCTGGACTGTTGCCCTCCCTTTGAAAGGAGCCACGGTGGGTAGGATATAGGAAACCTCAACCACACTCGTACTAGCAATCCGATGATACATATAGACCAAGCCGCAGACCCCTCTCTCCCTTATTCAGCTCTTTGTGCAGACAGAACCTTAGTAGAAGTGTCTTGGATGTAAATCACTTGATACTCAGAATGTACATCCTTGATTATGTCTCCTGCCCCAGGAAGCCACTCTGCGTCACCCCCCCACCAGGTGTTTCCCTCTCCCAAGTGCTCCTCACATTCCATGCAGAACTCTATCGCAGTGCTTACTGTACCCTAGCAACCCATTTATCCTATTTTTCTGCTCACTTTGCACTAAGCTTCTAGAGGGCAGCACTGTGTGGTGCTCTCTCCAGCTCCTGAGTGCATATGACAGGCCTGAGCACCCCGTTGGTACTCAGTAAATGAATGGATGATGTCAAGATCAAAGGAAGGGAAAAATAACATGAGGGAGGAAAAGAGAGAAGAAATTCCAGAGATTTTTTAAAAATCTCCTGGGGATTAACTGATCTTTTTATTCATTTTATGGAGCGTTTAAAAATTCTAAAATTTTGCCATTTTTTACTCTGTGGATTTTAAATATTGTTCCACTTTTATGTTGATATCTAATTTCAAAGATTTAACTGGAGCCACCAATATTTCTGTAATTATTGCAGAACTTTCTGGTTTGGGCAGAAAGGGCTCAAGCCAATCTACTGTATTATGTGTATTCAGATTCCTGGCCCACCTTGGGGACCCTAGAAGCATAATAAATGTTCTCATGGCTAATGGGGATTCCTTTATTTTTATACTCAGCAGTTTATTCTGAACACGAACTATGTGCCAGGCTCTGTGCTGGGTACCAGGGATCAGCTGCTAAAACAGAAGCCCCTGCTCTCTAGAAGGTCAACAATCATGGACAAACCAACACAGAAACCTTTTAGAATCCTATGCAATATGTGCTGGGGCAGCGGGGGCAGGGGCCAGGTCGGGAGGGTCTGTGGGAGCCCATTCTGGAGGCACTTGACATGGGCCTGGGAATAGAGGCCTGGAAAAGCCCCTGAGAGGGGACATTATCTGAATGGGTTGCAGAGGACTCATTGGTGTAGAGCCAGGCAGCCAGGAGGGCAGAGGGGTGAGCAGGATGTCCATCTTCAGGAGACTGTAGGCGCCCAGTGTGGCCAAGCCATAGAGGTGGGAGGAGGGGGAACACTCTGGCAGATATTAGGACCCACGTTTAGAGGAGCCAGTGTCAATCAAATCCCAAGGGGCTTTTTATATCATGTTACTGAGTTGGTCCTTTATTTCCCAAAGACTGGGCTACAGTCAAAGAATTTTGTTTCTCAAGCAGAATTTAGGGATGGATAAATGTGAATAATGCTAGTATGACATTCATAAAATGTATCAAATTTAAGTCGATATAGCTCAGGTCATTCAACTGGGCCAGTGGCAGGGGCTGCTTTAGAGCCAGGGTCTCTCCTCTCCTTCCTCCATAGCCAGGCCAGATCAAGCCCTTGACAGACATTGCTCGTGGGTATTGAAACTAGGCATGGTATGCACATAGGGCTCCCGGGAGTGTGCCCAGGGAGGGAGGCAGTTACCACAGAGGAGCGGTATGTTTCCAGCAATCCAGCCCCTTTGCCCCACACCTCAGAAAGCCTGTGCCAGGGTGAACAGACTGCCAGGTAAGTCCATTATCAGGCAGCTCCAGGAAATGTCCCAGACAATCCCAAGCATCTCACTAAAGGGATCCTAACGATGAGGAGAATGTCATTTTAATAGGATTTTTACTTACGATCTGCTAATGCAAGTCCCTGGAGCCTGCAGCTAGTCATGTGCAAAGCCAGACGAGAGCAGAGAATGCCCAGCTGCTAGCTCACACAGGAAAGGTTTATTAATTTGCAGTCCCTCCCGGCTCTATTATTTGGATGTGGTTGACTCATTGTCCCAAATTCTAATGATCTTCCCTTTGGACTTCTTGGTGCTTGGAGGGAAACCTGCTGATGCCATACAGCGTGTTCCATTTACTGGCAGACACAGCTTGAGTGACAGCCTCAATCGACCAGCAAGAGGCCAGGTGCCCCAAGCTTGTACAAGGGGAAAAAAAATGCATCTCTAAAAAATCGCAATGAACGCAAGATGCAGAAGTGAGATTCATT